TCGGTCATCTCTGCGTCTGTTGCTAAGTTAAAATGTGGTATACTTTTAACATACGTTCGCGCAAAAAGAGTATAAAAAAGAAAGGGAAAACAAGCGGAAAATAAGGCCGTACGTGCAGGTGCTATGCGTAATTGTTTCCTAATAGGTAATCAAATCAAACAGTGGTGTAAACAAGTGACATAATCATCGAGATCGTCGGTGGAAAACAAACCGACCGTGTTCACGAAATGCCAACGTATATAACATTTGAGATTTGGATTTCCCTTCGATTGCTTTATAGTGTGTGACCTTCGATCGGGAGCCTCTCTTATGACCTTCGAGAGTATCGTTCGCGTTCAAGTTAGTTTTTTACGGTCTCTCAGCTTCTGCTTGCCCTTCTCGCCCGCGCTAACTCACGTTCTTGCTAGCCTGCTTCATGTCTGAATATACTTCAGGTCTTTGTCTTGTTAAGAGGCTGAGTCTAACTAAAAATCGAGCTCGATAAGATGACTGATACGTGCACAAGTGTATCGATTGATATTGAGTAATTATTAATGGCATTGTCCCAAATTTAATGCCTCTTAGGATACGATCAATAAAGTAGATGTATTTGTTATCGCTGCGATATTATATCGATATTTATAAATATTCGGAATTCCCTTTCCATTGATATTGTCATACAATATTTTTACATTAGACTTAATTTAATCGAAATGTACAGAATTATATTTGAATATAGATAAATTTCTACGTTACTTTATTTCACGTGTACCACTGATAAGAACAAGGTTAAGTTTTTTGAAGGGGGGGGGGCGGAGAGGGCGAACCTTTTATTACATTCACAGAAAAGTTTTCACAGTGCAGCCAATAAAATGTTACGCTGAGTGCTGCTTCGTGATTCTACTTAATGACTCGATCGCGGTAGTTTTCCGAAATAGACGTAGAAACGCGCCTAATTGTACTTGAAGAGCACAATTGTGTCCGAAGAATTGCGAAATTATCCGGAACTTTACCCGCCCAGGAAGTTTTCGTACTCCATAACTGTACTTTTGTGACCAAGTCCGGCGAGTTCTTGGCGTCGCTTCAAGTTCTGTGATTACCGTGTATTATTATCGGAAGTATATTGTTAGGCAGGTTTAAGAGAGGTACGAAGAGCATTGTCAGCGAATACGTATCGACGAGTGTCGTTATTCTTTCAGGAGAGAATATCGGACTTTACTTTTTCTTCTCTTCTCTCCCACTCAGCTTTCGTCTAGGTATAGTTTTAAAGTGGAGTGTGCTTTATTGAAGTATAATATTTCAAAGTCAAGTATGTGTAAGACTCCATATGATGTCATCTATAGGCAGATATTGTATAAAAGTCGCAATATCGGAACCTAGATCTCCAAACAGCAGATATTTGTAATATATACGTCAAGATAAATGCCGCCATTTACATTAATTGCTTATTAATATCAGTATCCAGTTACAATTAAACCAAGAGAGAAAAATTTCTGATTAAAAATTAACGAATCAGAAGATTGTAATCATATCAATACGAATTTTGGTTATATTTCAACTAGAATTTAATAAATTTAATCAAAAAATTCTAACTTATCCGTTTTTACGGATTTAATTTCAATTAATGCAACCAGACTTTTTCCAGTATATCGTTTTTAATCTACGATCATATTATCGCGATGTTAACTTTAATAAAGGCTTAAATTTCTTGTTAAGTTCAGGACTAATTTTTCCTTCGGAACAAAGTAGCGAGAAAATTTGTGTCTTTAAGTCTACTTAAATGTAGGAAGTTTCATCATAATTGTATGAAGGATCCACAGGATGTATTCGAGGCTAGAGGCAGATATAACGGTTTCCCGGTGGCTTTTGTACTATATTTAGTAACGTGAACATTATGTGTGCAATTGTATACACGTACATCCGTTAACTAGGCGTCTAGACGGGTTTATTCGACCGGTTCGACAAAAATTCGAAAGACATTTGGCATAGTTCAAATATGTTTACAATTTATATATTAGAAAGTTTCAAGTTGACCCTTTCACTACACGTGTGACACGGTTAATGGCAATATGTAATATTTTCAACAGAATCTATTACGATCATCTATATCGATATTTACTAATATCATTGCATATTACGAGATACTATTAAATTTTTTTTAGCATTAATAATAATATAAAATAATCTGTATCAATAAAAAAATATTTGAGAAATTCTGCGGCGATCAATCTTTTTATACAAATTGTGTCGCTGATTAAAAACGATCACATTCTCCGAATAGGTACTTAGGATCTCAATTATTCAAGAGTGAGGTATCGAAAAAAGTCATTGCATTGGTATCGCGCAGACGCTATTGAATTATTACGGCGTATTCTCGTTAATAAAATAACGTTTTATTACAATCTCCGCGCGCGGTTTCTCGACATTTCATGCGAAATCTAAATTTCCACGAAGAAAATTTTGGCTATCGAATGAGATCACGAAATGAATATTAAATGAATGGTTCATTTCATATTTACTCCAGTTTTTGCTCTGAAACATTATTCTGTTTAGACGAAAATTAGTCGGGTTTGTTTTGATCTAAACAATTTTGATCTAACTCACGCATTCTAGCAGCAATTACAACGCTATCAAATGTGATATTTTTAGTCACGTGAAAGTGATTATCGATATATTAGTCAGATAAAAGCCTGAAGTGAGGCAGTACAGGGTCAAGTATCTAGTCTAACTGCTTTATATCACAACAACTATTGAATATCCAAGATATTTCTCGTTTAAAAATGCATGGGAAAGGGAGGGCACAGAAGTTACAGGAGAATGATCGAAACTTTGGTGCCGATCTAACTTTCGTATACTGGAAGCGGATCAAATCTGTCTGACTCTGGCAGGCAAACAGTTCAAGCGAAATTCTCGTCGACTGCGAGAACGCGCGCGAGATAAATCTGTCATTCACACAACGGCAGTATGCAAAATATACGCGCGACAGAACACACACGGTGCAATCACGGATTTAACCGCAAGCTTCGCGATACGAGTTCTTTCGAGAACCGCCTGTGCGATTAGTGATTTTCCTACCACGTTTGTGTGACCTTCGAATGCAAATTCGATACAAGCTATTTTGATAAGAACATTATTCGAGAAAGAAAACAGACGCATAAGTTGAATTGCGTTAATTGGAAATTGATGGCAAAAGCATTATGTACTCGTATGTATTCCTTTCTCCAGAAATTTGTCTACTGCAATTTATATAAAGTATATATCGTATTTTGAGAAATCTAATTTCAAAGGGAGATTTTGAAAATTAAAATCAAATAAAATGTATTTGTTTGCACAAAGTTTTATAAATTGAAAAAAATATTGTCTATACGTTTATTCTTATTATAATATGTGTGTGTCGTATATAAATAGTTTTATAATTAAATTTAAATATTTTTATAAAATTAAATT